TGTAAGACTTGTTGCAAAATTCTGCAAGATAACTGGTCTCAAGAGTCCATTATAATTAATATTAGAACATTTTCATCACTCCTTCAGAAAACCCCATATCCACAATCACTGTTTTAACTTATATATGTGGATTATAAAAGAGCCCTTGATACCACTACCATAAACAGAAGTTCAGTTTCACTTGCCATAAATGGAAGATACTTATGAAAGTAAACCCAATGGGAACAGAACAGTCTTGTGGGATTCTGGCTCTATACCATTGCCCTCTGCACCCTGGGCTTGCTGTCTTGGCCAAAAGAAGAAGTGTTAGGTGTTAAAGATACAGCTGTCCTAAACCAAGACTTTCTCCTTAAAGAAATCTAAGAGATTGAAAATGAAGTAATCCCTAAGAGGCTTTCCCTCAGCGTCTCACCATTTGGGGAGCTGTGTGTGGGAGACCCCGCAAGAGCTGAGGCAAGGGTCTGAAGCCTCAGCCTGTTCCCATGTAAATACAGAAGTAGAAAAGAATGAGAGAGATAGTTACATAGTTCTTCCCACACATAATCCTAAATAATCACATAGCTATTCATATGTAATCATAGATATATATAATAAGATCTTTAATTTTACTAATAAGTCTCAGGTCATGAAGTATGGGACTGAAGTGGCATTGGGGAAGAGGTGACCCTAAGGCAAGATGCTCTAAGTCGTCTGTCACGCCCGCACAAGGGCTGCTGGAGGACGCCTTGGCTGTGTGACAGTGTCAGCGCTCTGAAAGTGCCTGCTGTTTAGCCAGCTAGGGAAGGAAATGTCTAAGATGGCCGAGACGTCTCCTTCCTCGGGGGAGTGAGGAGAAAACGCCACTCTCGCAAGTGGAGTAAGCCTGACGGCTCTTGTGGTAAGCTTGACGGCCGTCAGGGAAACCCACAGACATCTGGGGACTTAATAGTCTCTGTGCGGTGCTGTGCTTCAGCGGTCACGTTCCATGTCTGCTTTCAAGTTCTGCTTCTGCACCTGGTTCCTCTTTTTCTTAGAAGATAAGAATTAGTAACATAAATCTTAGTGACCTTATTCTTTCTTGACAAGTATGAGAAAAGTGCTGACGCCTTAGGTTTTCTCCTTGCCTTGGCTTCTTCAGAGTCTTGGGCCCCTGTCTCCAAGACATGTGATTTCCTTGACCCTGTCACTGGCCACCATTACCTCATCCTACCTAGCATGCCCCCTGCTTTGTACTCAATAAAAGTCAGGGCGTCTAGGCACTCAGGGCCACTGCTGGTCTCTGTGATTTGGTAGCAGTAGACCCCTGGGCCCAAACTCTCTTTTCTCTATCTCTGTGTCTTGTATCTTTTATTTCCACAGTTTCTCATCTCCACACCTGCAGAGAGGGACTCACGGGACCCTGCAGGGCTGGATCCCTACAGGGAGCACCAAGGTGGGGTTTTCATCTCCATAGTCTCTTCTGAGCCTCACTGTAACTCTGTGAGGGAGGGATTATCATTCCCATTTTACAGATGAGAAAACTGAGGATTGGGGGTGTCAGCTGTCTTACCTGCATCCTGCAGTATGTGGTTGAGGAAGTTCTTAGTCCCAGGTGCTCTTTCTACTCCCTGAGAGCTGCTGCCCCCGACTCCTGTCCTAGGCAGGGTACACACAGCCTATCCCTCCCCAGGCTTAGGGATACTGTGGCAGTTTTGCACTAGGGAATGAAAGGATCTGCCTATGGGGACCCAAGACCCTGAGCCTTCTGGTTTATTTGCCTCAAGGACATTGAACTGACATCTCTAAGCTAGAGTACCCTGAGGCCAGGTGTTGGCAGTGACAGTGTCCTTTTGTCTCATGGTAGAAACTTCCAGTGCTAGAGCTGGCCAGGAACAACACCATCATCGGGTCCAGCATCCCCTAAACTTTATCCAGACTCATGAAGTCCCTGGACATTGTGAGGGGCTTCATAATTGTGTGACTCCTTCAGAAACATTTCCAATGACTGCATTTTGCATGGCCTAGGTGAAAAAAAGACGCTAAGTAAAAAGAAAAAAAAAATTGAGCTCAAGTCATTGGTTTTAATATAGTACCATAAAGCTAGGGTTTAATACATGTGAAAGTTTTCTGTAGTATATGTTCAGGTATTACAGCAAGACACATATCCACATTTTCCTATTTGACAAGTGATGCGATCTAGTTCGTTTTCTGTGAAGAAACCGTGTAGGAGAAGGAAGAAATAAATGAAGCTAGCGGTGGAGAGACCATGACAGTTCCCTGGTCCAGCCGCCAATCGAAGGGTGAGCTGGCCCCTAGTACCCGGGGGTGGGGGGTGCAGGGTGAAGGCCACAGTACCACCTCTGGAGTATTCTCCCCACTTGCGCTTACCCTGCATGGAACCAAGCTTTGAGGGTCTTCTAGGTGTGACTGGTAGGCTACAGGAAAGAGGGAGGGTGGAGGAGCAGGGAAAGACACCATGAAGAAACCATCAACGTTCTGCAAGACAACTGGTCTCAAAAGTCTGTGTCACGAGAAAGGTGAGAGGGCTTTTCTAGATTAAAAGAAAATAAAGTGATGGAACAATCAAATCGAATGTGGGAACGTGGCTAGATCCAGGTTAAAAAAGTCGTGATAAAGACATTTTCGGCCCAGCGGGGAGACATTTGAATATGGACAGGGTATTAGTTAGGATTATAGAATTATTCTTAATTTTCCTAGCGTGATAATAGCATTATGATTACATAGGAGCATGTACTTATTCTTAGGACATAGTGCAGGTAGAAGAATTTAGAGAGGGAAGGTCATGATGCCTGCAACTTTTGGACGGTATATATACAAATGTATATGTATATCTATGCATACCAAATACCTGCTATATATGCACACACGTACATACACATGTAAAGAGACAGATATATGTGGAGAAGGAGGGAAAGAAATACCTGCTATATATGCACACACGTACATACACATGTAAAGAGACAGATATATGTGGAGAAGGAGGGAAAGAAAATATGCAAAATGTTAACACTCTAATCTCAGTGGAGCTATAAGGGTGTTAATTGGACTATTAACTTTTCTGTGTGTTTGAATGTTTTCATAATGAGTAAAAACGGTATTAGACTTAGTTTAGGGCTGAATCCATTTCAGAATCAGCTGTGTGTGGCGGCTCACACTTGTAATTGCAGCACTTTGGGAGGCCGAAGCTAGAGGATTGCTTGAGACCAGGAGTTTGAGGGACCAGCCTGGGCAATGTATCAAGAGCTCTGCTGAAAGTAAAGAAAATTAGCTGGCTGTGGTGACGCAGACCTGTGGTCTCAGCTGCTCAGGAGGCTGAGATGGGAGGATTGCTTGGGCCCAGGAGTTCAAGCTGGCGCAGCATACGACTGTGCCTGTGCACTCCAGCCTGGGTGACAGAGCAAAACCCTGTCTCAAAAAATTGAAAAAAAAAAATCAAAATACAGACTAAAATTTAATCACAGCGCTAACTAGCCAAAGATTGCTCTCTGTTTCTAGCCTGGTGTTAGAAATTCTGCATACCGTGTAGAAGACACCATTCATTCTAGAGGTCTCGGTATTGATGAGCCTCGGGAACAGGGCTGTGGCCATGCTCCCCCAGGACCTACTAACTGCCTCAGCTTCCCCCAGCCGGGCTTCCACCACGCACCTGCAGAGGCAGTGCCCTTTCAAAGGGAATATTGGCAAGTCTTCCATTTACTGACTTAAAAAAAATATGTAAGTCTAGGCTGGGCATGGCAGCTCACGCCTGTAATCCCAGCTACTCGGGATAGGTAGGCAGGCCAAGGTGGGCAGATCGCGAGGTCAGGAGTTCGAAACCAACCTGACCAACATGGTGAAACCCCATCTCTACTAAAAATACAAAAATTAGCCGGGCATGGTGGCAGGTGCCTGTAACCCCCAGCTACTCAGGAGGCTGAGGCAGGAGAATTGCTTGAACCTGGGAGGCAGAGGTTGCAGTGAGCCGAGATCACACCACTCCAGCCTGGGTGACAGAGAGAGACTCTGACTCCAAAAAAAGTCGAACCAGAAGCCATTTCTTCCTTTATGGACGCAAACGACCAGTCTAGCACAATTGCCTGTTTTACAAGTGGAGAAAAGTGACTGGCAGAGCTAGCGTTGGCACGCAGGTCTTCAGACATCCAAGCTGAGGTTTCCTCTGTCACTTCCTTTCATCTTTGGAAAGATTGGGTTTGTCCTAAACCTTTGCATGGCTCTCTCTGCCACTCTCTCAGAACCTAATGACTCACACTTTACAATCTATTTTAAAGCCAACTGGAATCTATAGAAGATTAGAAGCAGCGAGTGAAGAGAAGAGGTGTTAGGGCTGAGCTAGTGATCACAGCCAGAAAGGCCATGAAGGAGCTGGAAAAGCAGGAGAATTCAAAGAACCTCAAACCCCGGGGACATTCTGTGCAAGGGCAAATGATACTGGCAGCATCCCTCCACGCAGGGATTTTGTAAGACAGTGGAGTGCAGACTGCTATCTCAGACAGCTTAAAAACCTGGGCCGGGAGTGGTGGCTCATGCCTGTAGTCCCAACACTTTGGGAGGCCGAGGTGGGTGGACCACCTGAGGTCAGGAGTTTGAGACCAGCCTGACCAATATGGTGAAACCCCGTCTCTACTAAAAATATAAACGTTAGCTGGGTGTGCTGGCATGTGCCTGTAGTCCCAGCTAGTCGGGAGGCTGAGACAGGAGAATTGCTTGAAACTGGGAGGCAGAGGTTGCAGTGAGCCCAGATCGCACCATTGCACTCCAGCCGGGGCAATAGAGCAAGACCCTGTCTCAAAAAAACAAAATGAAACAACCTGGGCTACCACGTGTGTCGAGCGCTCAACTGTGTAAGAAATGGTTTATCCAAGAGGACAGGGTTCCCAGGAGCTGTGAGGGCTGACTTTGCTGTGTAGACCATCAAGCTAGGCTTTTGTGTGTTCAAATCTTATCTTCCCAGTGAAAGTGCAACTTCAGGAGAGCAGGGCGTGTGCCCCAACCACGTTTGAGCGTTGTCAGGCGGTGGCTCTTCAATTTGCAGTCTGGATCCAGGTCCGAGCTCCGTCACTGAATATCCACGTGCCTTGGGCAACTTGATTAACTTCTCTGAGCCTGCATGAAATGGAGATAGTAACAGCTGCTAGGTCACGGATTGATTGATGGGAGGATTAAATGACACTGAGATTAAATGACATTTACTTGGGTCGGAGTCAGTGGCCCAGTAAAGATTCAAAGAGTGGGCTTTGCAAATACTTAGGGGAAAACAGTCCAGGTGGAGGGAGGGCAAGGCGATGACTCAGAGGCAGGGCTATCCCTGGGGGTGTCTGCGGAACCTCAAGGAAGCCATGGTGGCTGGGGAAGAGCTAGCAGGAGGAAGGGAAGCAGTGAGTGAGGCCACGGGTTGCAGGGCGGAGTCGTGTTTTATTGCACATGTTTATTTTTGGGGTTTGCTTCTATTTACGGAAAGATACTGATTTCCCATTTTTTGCTGCTACAAAGTGCCCTTTAAAATAATACAGAAAAAGGAATTAGTGTGGAAGCAGAATACACTGCAGCCCACAAACAAGCAAAATGCGTGAAGACTATCCTCAGATGACCGCAATTTGCAAAATGAGGAAGGCAGGTCCCTCTCTCTTAAATTATTTGCTTAGCAAAAGTAGGTTTGGAATTTCAATGCTGAAGTTTCGCTGGCAACCTCGATGTCACCACTAGAACCTTGAATTCCAAGCCTGATCTCAGAGCTTTCCAGCTGGGAGACTCCTGGATCATGTCATCCTCCCACTCCCGCTTTACAGATGGAGAAACTGAGACCCAGGGAGGCAAACACATTCAGAGGGTCTGGTTCAGAGGGAAGAACTGTACACAGTTTCTATGGGACTCAACTCCCCAGCTGGCCCCCACCCCAAATCCAAGGATTCAGACACACAGGCTCCCCCAGAGACCCTTTAGTAGGTTGAGGCAAGGGAAGCCTCTGGCTGTGTTGCTTTGGAGACTTTCCTTTCTGCGGTCCCCTTTATATCCTCCTGTGCACCCACCATGGATCAGAGAAGGCAGGCAAGGGAGGGCAGAAGGCATGGGGCCACCTGGGGGCTGCTGGCCCAGGAGTTTGCTCTGGAGGGTGGTGAATCCTGGTTGCACCCAGGTTCAACCAAGGCAGGTCCGGTCAACCAAGTCAGGTGTTGAGATGTTCCCAGGGGGCCCTGGGAGTTCCTTTAGTGCCTGAGGGGACAGGACCATCGTTGCCCCGGCTACCACTCCCAGGCCAGGCAGTTCTGAGTGCGGCACTGTCAGCCGCTTTCCGGTCACAGCTCCTTCAGGAACTGGTTCCTATCCATGCCAGGGAGAAGGGGCCGCAGTGGGTTCTGAAGGTCTGGGGATCTGGGGCCAAACCTCTTTACCTCTGATGTTGCTTGTACTGGGCAGGCGTGACCTTGAACACACTCTGGTAGGATGGTGGGGGCTCCACCGGCAGGCCTTTGAGATGCAGTGGTGGGTTTGGAACAAGGCATGCATCATCATTGTTCTGCAAAAGAAAACCCACCGCCCCGCTGCTCACATCTGTGGAGCGACTGGCTGTTTCTGAAGCATTTCCCTACTAGTTCACTTCTGAAGACTCAAGTTCTCCATGACTACGGGGAAATTGAGGTGAGGCTTGAGAGATGAAGTGATTTCCATAGACCAGCGTGTGACTCCCTCCACCCTCCCTGTTCTTGGAAAGAGAGTAGGGGGAGGCCCACGTGGGACTCAGTGGATGGGGTCCTGGTTCCCATCCTGCTACCAGTGCTCTGGTGACCAGGGGCAAGTCACCCTTCAAGACACTCTAGGGCAGGTCTAATGCCAACAATGTCCCCCAGTGATTGCTACCACACCTCCATTCCTGATTATGATGAGGGTGGCACCAACTCAGGGCTGCAGAGCCCGTCCCTGGCATCATCCTTTCTGATGGGAGGGCACAGGGCCCACTGGGAGACCCAGCACAGCCGCTTACTGGCCGTGAGATCATGGGAAGTCACTCTTTTAAGCCTCATCTTTTCCTCTTTAAACGAAAAAGCAGAACCTGTCTCCCAGAATGGCTGTGAGATTCAAAGAGGTCTCAGCTAGTGCACTAGGCAGAAGCCCAGCCCTCAGAAGACTTCCATGTGCTAATCTCTGGTCACGTGGCAGAGAGGAATAAAGGTTGAAGATGGAATTAAGATTTCCAATCACCCTTGAGATGGGGAGATTCTCCTGGATTATCTGTCTGGTCCCAGTGTGATGACAAGGGTCTTTAAAGGTAGAAGAGGGAGACTGGGTTATTGGAAGATGTCGTGATGCTGGCTTTGAAGGTGGAAGAAGGGGCCACAAGCCAAGGAATGCAGGCAGCCTCTAGAATCTGGGAAAGGCAGGGAAAGAGATGCTTTTCAATGCCCCCTGAAGGGATGCCGTCCCGGTGACACAGCTTGATTTGAGCCCTTGAGACTCACTTCAAACTGCCGACCTCCAGAACTGTAGAATAATACAGGTGTCATTTTAAGCCACCAAATTTGTGATAATTTATTACAATAGCAATAGAAAATGAATTCAGCCATGTGCAGCACTAGCACAGTGCCTGGAACACAGCAAAGGTCAATAAATAGTGTGGGCAACCCCCCATATAGGCACCGAGAAAGGAGAGCCAAGCAGAATTCTGGCACAATTAAGATCTGAAGAATATCTCAGTTTATAGTGTTACTACTCAGTTATTTCCTTTTATACAATCCTCTCTATATAATCATATATTAGTTCTTAGAATGAGTGCCGAAAGAATATCTTACCACTCAGTTATTTCCATATATATATATAACTATATCTTAGTTCATAATTAGAGGAATGCCTAGAGTGGACACAGTACAGAGCATGAATTAAGGAATAAGCAGCTTATAGCCGGAGGAATGTCTGGAGCAGATACAGTGCAGAGCATGATTTAAGGAAAAAACAGTTATACCAGGACAAGAATCCATAGCCCAGGCAGCAGCATTCAGTGTCTTAAAGATACCCGCTGTATGGCAGGCTTGGGGCAAGAGCCACTCCTCCTGATAAGGAGTTGCAGGACCTTGCTCCACTTCTTGTAGAGGGCTGCCCTCAGACTGGCAATCCCTCCAGCATCCAAGGGCTCAAAGCCCCTCTGGATAATTGTGCCTTGGTGACTGTGAACTTTATCAGCTCTAGTTACTGTGCTGCTTGAAAAGCATCTAACTATAGAACTCTTTGGAAGCTGCCAGCAGGTGGCGTAGACCCTGACAGCTCTGTCACTGCTGTGCGACTTAAAGCATCCTCCTATAAGTCTTCTTAGTAGCTTGCTCATAGATAGAGGTATTGCACACTGCACCCTCTTCACTGTGCACGGCCCACCTCCATGCCTTGGTGACCTAATGGGGTGGACCCCTTACCGCACACGACCCTTGCCTCGATGACCTAATGGGAATGGACTCCTTGATGTGCACTGTCCACCTCTGGCCTAGGTGACCTGATGGGGGTGGACCCCTTGTTTTATTGCTCATGACCCTATCACTATTCTTAAAGATGACTTCACTCACTGCCCTGCCCCCAACCTATACACAATAAATACTGACGCTTCTGGACATTCGGGGCCTCGCCTGACTCCGCTTATAGGTGGCATGGTCCCCCGAGCCCAGCGGCATTTTCCTTGTACTTCCGTGTCCTGTTTCTTTATTTCACAGATCCTGCGCCTCAGCACAGCATAAGGGATACCCCACAACCCTGTGGGGCCCTTAGCCCTACAAAATAGGAACAATGATTGCTCATACCTGAAGCTAGGTATGGGGCCTCAGTTTCCCCCATCCTTAAAAGTGGGGTTGGCCTCAGTGACTCAAGGCCCCCATCTGGTTCTCTGATGTCTTAATGAGAAGACTTTCTACCAGGCAGCCAGGCATGAACTAAGACAACTTCTCTGCTTGATGTTAAATGAAACTCAGAGGCTATCAACTTATATATGCATTAAGTGAACACTCGGTGTGTGATGAGGTCACTAACATGAAAATCAGTGCCAAACTTGCAGAATTGTGGGGGATTTGGCACCTTTTTTTTTTTTTTTTGAGATGGAGTTTGGCTCTTGTTGCCCAGGCTGGAGTGTCATGGTGCAACCTCAGCTCACCCAGCCTCTGGCCCCAGGTTCAAGAGATTCTCCTGCCTCAGAGTCCCAAGTAGCTGGGATTACAGGCATGTGCCACTACACCCAGCTAATTTTGTATTTTTAGTAGAAACAGGTTTCTCTACGTTAGTCAAGCTGGTCTTGAACTCCGGACCTCAGGCAATCCGCCTGCCTCTGACTCTCAAAGTGCTGGGATTAGAGGTGTGAGCCACCGTGCCTGGCTGACACATTTTTTTTTTTTTTTTACAGTTTTCTAAAGTTGAAATTGTAATATGAATTTTCTTTCTTTTTTTTTTTTTTTAAAGAAATGAGACTTGGAAATCACTTCTGGTCAGGTTCTTCCTTTTTTATTCATTAATTTTTAAAATAAAACATCCTTATCCTGAACTACTCAGGATCTTTGTGGTAGGGAGAGACTTGCCTTCTCTTTTAAAATATATCTAGCCCAGTCTGCCACTCTGCCAACCCCACGAGTAGACAAGGGCAAGGCTGTGGGTTAGACGTAGCTCAGGCTGAGTTCTGGATCTTCTTACTGGCTGCTTTGCCTTAGGAAGTGATGTGACCTCTCTGAACCTCAGCTTACTAGTCTGTAGTATGGGAATTTAAGTACCTCAATGGGTTTTTGAGGGCTGGGCCCGGTGGCTCATGCCTGTAATCCCAGCATTTTGGGAGGCCAAGGCCGGCAGATCGCTTGAGGTCGAGAGTTTGAGATCAGCCTGACCAAGAGGGCAAAACCTCGTCTCTACTTAAAAAAATACAAAAATTAGCCAGGTGTGGTGGCACATGCCTGTAGTCCCAGTTACTTGAGAGGCTGAGGTGAGAGAATTGCTTGAACTCAGGAAGTGGAGATTGCAGTGAGCAGAGATCATGCCACTGTACTCTAGCCTGGGTGACAGAGTGAGACTCAGTCTTAAAAAAAGGGTTGTTGAGAAGATGAAGTTAAATACAGCTATATTTATCTATATTATCTGTGTATCTATATCCATTCATCCATCATCCATCCTTCCATCCATCCATCCATCTATCCACCCACCCACCCGTCCATTCACCCATCCATCCATCCACCCATTCCATCCATCCACCCATTCCATCCATCCACCCACCCATTCATCCACCCATCCACCCATCCACCCATTCTGTCCATCCACCCACCCATCCATCCACCCATCCATCCATCCATTGATCCACCCATCCATCCATCCACCCACCCATCCATCCACCCACCCATACATCCACCCATCCATCCATCCATCTACCCATTCTGTCCATCCACCCACCCATCCATCCATCCATCCACCCATTCTGTCCATCCACCCACCCATCCATCCATCCACCCATTCCGTCCATCCGCGCACCCATCCATCCGCCCATCTGTCCACCCATTCCATCCACCGGTTCCATCCATCCAGCCATCGATGGATTCATTGATGGATTCAACAGAGTCCCTGGAATGCCTGAAGTGCCCAATCTTTGATGACTCCTTCTCTCACTTGTTTCTACCACAGCCAAACTCCACACACACTGCAGCTTCCCCAGGCCTTCCCTATCCTGTCTCCAAGCCAGTGCTCCTGCTGTTGCTCTGCTGAAAGTCCCCCTTCCATCGGTGCCTGCGGGGCCGAATCCTGCCCAGTCACCACGGCCTCCCTGATGCAATTTCCCCGGGGCTTTCAGAGCTGGCAGCACAGTCGCCTGTTGTTCTGGGCACCCATGGAATTTCCCCTCTGGCAGCCTCACCCTTTTCTCCTTGGACCGGCCTCCTCTCTCGCCCTCATGCCTTGGCCCCTCTCCTGGACTGTGGGCCGCCACTCAGGGAATCCTCAGCAACGTGAGGAGTGAAGGAAACACGCTCCTCTTCTAATCCCAATGTCTTTCCTTTCTGAGCCCTCTGCTGCCTCGTGCCCCCATTTTTTGAGGGCTTGTCTTCCCAGGAAGGGCCTTACCTTTGCAGATGTGCGGTCCCCTTTCCAGGCTGTGAGAGCCGTGGGCACCGGCAGGAAGAGCTCTAGGACAGTGAAGCAGAGCAATGCCAGCTCTAGCCTCTGGATGTGGACCTGAAAGGGGAAAGGGAGGGAAGGCAGGGCGAGGCCTCGCTGGGTGTCTGCACACAGTATGTGGGCTTAGCCAGCTAGGATCAGATCCACATTGGAGAACAGTAGGGGCTTCTGCTCCCAGGTGTGCGTGGGGAGGGCAGGGTGGATCTCTGTGGGATGGGGACTGGGTCTGTCTTGGTCACTGCTCTACACTCATCGCCTGGCACATATACATGTTTGGTGAGTGTTGGCCCAACGTTTGAGGGCTGGAGAATCTCATGCGTCCCTGGGAAGACTGAAGGTAGCCTTAGGGTCATCTGATCTAAGCCTACTTGACAGATGGGGATACCTAGTCCCAGAGTGAGGGAATATGCTTTACAGTTGGTGGGGGAAGAGCTATGAGACGATGGCTGTGCAGCTGGGAGACATCTCATAGTATCACATGCATTTGGTGGGGAAGCATATGTATGTGTGAGCACATGTGTGTGTCCACGCATGCTCGCACATGCATGTGGTATGCTCTGCATGCGTGTGTGTGTATGTGCTGGGAGGAGACAAGGAATAGCAAACCACTACGGTCAGAATCCTTGTGGGCACGGTGGCTCATGCCTGTAATCCTAGCACTTTGGAAGGCCGAGGTGGGCAGATCACAAGGTCAGGAGTTCGATACCAGCCTCGCCAACATGGTGAAACCCTGTCTCTACTAAAAATACAAAAATTAGCAGGGTGTGATGGCAGGTGCCTGTAATCCCAGCTCCGTGGGGGGCTTAGGCAGGAGAATTGCTTGAATCTGGGTGGTGGAAGTTACAGTGAGCCCTGATCATGCCACTACACTCCAGCGTGGGTAACAAGAATGAGACTCTATCCCCGCCCCCACCAAAAAAAAAAAAAAAAAAAAATTCTTAGAGCCTGGCCCAGAGGCATCCAGCCTGTAGTATAGTGGCTGGTCCACCTTCTGCTTCAGAGGCAGCGGTGGTGTGGTGAAAAGGGCACCAGGCTTGGAGTCAAGGACCCACTGATGTAGCCTGTCTGGACCTCAGTGTTTACTCCCAGAGGATGAGGGTAACAAGGTGGACTTGGCCAGCTTTGCGAGGCTCCTGGATCACACCCCTGTGTGATCACACCCCAGGGACTCATGCTTTGAGCCCTGGCCGGGAAATCTGCAGTTCTAGGCTGTGGTCCTGGATTTGCAGCCCCGTTGCTGCTTGACCTCAGGCAGGCTCCTCCCCATCTCTGGCCCCATTTCCCCATCTGTGAAAGTGGACTTGGACTCCATGATGCTGACCAGTGGGCAGCCTGGTAACCCCCCTTTCCACCACACCTTGGGAGGGACAGGAACAGGTTGGCCAAGGGCTGAGCGGCCACACCTGGGCTCCAGGAGAGGTTTTCCGTGACCTGGAAACCTGTTGGCTAAGCCTGAGGCAGCAGCTTCATTGAAGTCAGAGGTCCCTCCGGGCCTGGGCACTCACCGTGGAGTTGGGGTACATTCTCCAAATGGGGGACTCAAATGGGCTTTCCAGAAAGAGATCCTTGGCAATGACAAAGAGGCCGGACAGCACGCAAAGGAGGCTGATGAGGTTCGTCACCAGGCACAACCTCTTCTGCAGGTGAAAAATAAAGGTAACGGCTCTTCAAAGGGTGGATATCTGGGCCTAGGTCCCCGCCATGCTTGCAGGAGCTTCCCCTGTAGCCTCAGGAGAGACTGCCTGTCACTGGACCCGAGGCCCCCGCCCTCACGCAGGAGCTGAGCCACTGAGCGCTGAGGAGGGCCCAGCTGGCCCTCACCTTCTATGGTACAAATTAGGAGAACCCAAGAGCTGCCTTCGGATCAAAGAGCTTTGCAGTAAAGACACCCCACTGCCATCTCCCCCTCAAAGCCAGCCCTGACCATCCCACATTAGATATGCCAAGTGTCAGGGACTTGACACACAAATGACCCCTCACCCAGCCGCTTCCCCACCAGAAAGGGCAGGAGGAGCTCTGAAAGTGACCTATCCCCACACATTCTAGTGCCAGCCCTATTTTCTCCGCCCACCCGCGATGGTCCCTGAAATGGCTGTGTTCATCGTCCTCTCTGGCTAAGCATCATTGCAAGAGTCCTTTGCCAAGTGCAAACCCACGTAGTGAGGAAAATATGCATACGTGGAATCTGCTGCCATTTACACTGCAGTGGGTTTCTTTGCAGTGAGAGTGTCCCTGTGTTCAGGTACGCAACGCAGGAGGCCTATGGTTCTAAAAGGGGCTCAGCCCAGGAGGGCGAAGTCTGGGGAATGGGCAGATCTTTGCCAAGGGTCTCCTGCCTCTGCTGGGTAAACTGTACAACCATCCTTCTATTCTCTCTGCCCTCCGAGAATGCAGGGAGCAACCACAGCCTACCCAGGCCGAGGGACACAGAGATGGAAGGACCTGGCTTGGGCTTTGGGGGCAGAGGGAGGGGAGGTGGGAAGGCCTGGGTGTGGGGTGTGATTTGCAAGGATGCTCCTTCCATCATTCACCCACCTCCACCCATCCAGCCTTGTGTTAGGTGTCTACTCTGTGCCTACTTGGGCCTCCTTGGGCTACCAAGATGCTCAGACACATTCTACCCACACAGAACTTAGCGTATGCTATAGACAGGTAAGTCCACAGAGTTGTGGGAGCACAGGAAGCAGCCATGGAGGTCAGGGAAGGCCTCCGGGAGGAAAAGACATACAGGTTGTCTTGAGTGGTCAGGAGTGAGTCAAAGATGAGAGGCTTCATGTGCAGGAGAGAGGGCAAGGTGTTTCGGGCAGCAGGCCAGCATGGGCAGAACAGGGAGGATCACCGTTCCAGCTGCCTCGTGCTCAGAGAGGAGCAGTAGATGCAAACCCAGCTGGAGGCTGGGGCTTTCAGGCTGTGTAGTGATCCAGATGAAAACTCAGTAGATTTGAGAGGAAGCCAAGTTGTGTTCTAGAAGAATGGGTCAAGTATCCTGGGAGCCATTTCCTTCTCTGCCTCACTGCACTGGAAAGAGAGATGCTTCAGATGGGGCTTCCTTTCCTTCCCACAGCCAAATCTGCCAGCCTGTCTGCATCTGGACATCCTCTGCTGTCCTGAGGCATGAGCCTGCTCCTAGCAAGTCCTGGAGAAGTGTTCTTAGGATCACCTCTACACATAGATGCTTTTAACAAAGTTACCCTGTGCTCGGATGGAAGGGAATGACCTCTGTGCACCCACTCACCAGGTAAGCTTTAGAAAAGGTCTCCATTGTTATCGCCAAGATCCCTGAAATGAGAAACTGCAGGCCGGATTTGAAAGTCACAGGAGAGAAGTTGAGATTCCTCGAAACCCACAAATTCCCACTCCACCCCTATTCTCCAAGAAAACCAACCCTTGGCGGCCAGTGGGGCAGAGAATGCTATTCCTCCAGCAAAGTGGGCTCCTCTTGCCTGCCATGTGGCCCATCCCAGGCGCTGCCCCACCTCACAGCTTCCCACGTGCACAAACCTCCATACTTCCTCTCATCTCTACCCTTGGACCAAGCTGTGCCCTGTGCTTACAACTCCCTCCTAGCCCCTTCTGCTTCCCTCATTTTACAAACCCAGAACATCCCTCTGGTGTCAGTGGCACTATTTTCTCTACCCCGACCCTTTCTCTTTTCCTGAGCCCTGCAGTTGGGAGGACATGAGCTCTTTTGCCCAAGGTCTCTGGGAATACCTCTGCAATCATTCTTTCCAATGTTCACTGAGCACTTACTATGTGCTAGTCCCCGGAAGCACAGGGTGAATAAACACTGCATGGTGGAAAGTTCTATCACTGTGCAATGAAAGCCTGACCCCGTGCGGGGTGGGCACAGAGGACTGATGTGAAAAGGGGATTGGGATACTTGCCCGGGACAGTGCTGTGGAGCTGGGATTTAGTGCATAGGCAGGACTGCACCAGAGAGTCAGGAATGGGATGGGCTCCCTGGAGGCCAGAAGGAATGTAGGGCTTCTGGGAATGAGGCATATACTGGTCCAGTGTCATCTCCCATCCTGGCTGATGGCCTTGGGAGGATGGGAACCACGCCTTACGCCCTGGGTGTTTTCATGGCTTAACCCTAACAGGGCACCTGCCGCTGGATCCAGAGGCAGCCTGGCTGCTCCGAAGGCCAGGGAAGAAGGAAGCTGTCCCTGGGTCATGCTCACCCCCATCTTTGCCAAATGCACACATGCAAGTATGGGAGAGTAGATAGTCTGCGAGTGCTCTCCTGGGACTCAGAATTGACAGGGGCTCCCTGGAAGGAGCTATTTCCAGGGTGACTACAAGAAAAGAAGGAGAGATGGGAACACTGGAGAAAGGGCCTGGCTTCCACCACACCCTGTTAGCTCTCTCTATCCCAGCCTGCATCCTGTCCCAAACGCCAGGGCCTCCCAGGCCTGCCCTGCAGACTCCCATACCCGGTCTGTGTTTTGCCTTCTACTCACAGAGGCAGCCCCCCAGAATGGATACCAAGACTTCAGCACCACCAGGTGGAGGCTCTTGACTCTAGAGGCCAGGTAGCCCCCAAAGGCCACGTGCAGCAGAGCGATGGCGATGTGGAAGGCCTGGGTAGGGGAACAGAGAGTGGCTGGGGTAAAGGCATTGGTGACCGGCTCTAGAGGAGGCCACAGGTACCCTGGACCTACTGGCTGCGCTGACTCCGTCCGTCCTCTTAGGGATCCCGGAGGGAGAGCAGGATCTCTAGGAAGAGACCGCTCCCCAGGATTTGCTGCAGGGAGAGCTAAGGCTGCCCCAGGAGTAGGAGCTGTCTATGCTGGAGCTGGCAGCCCTTTCCTGCCATTCTCCCCAGGACGGGGCCCTGTCCGAACCTCACGAGGCAGTAGGTGTGGGCAGATTCTCTCCAATGCTCAGGGCCTTTTCCAGTTCAGATGAATGTTAAGCAAGAAAGCTGGAGTCTTTTTCATTTCCCTTTCTCCACTTAGGGCCCCCAGCATCCTCCCAATACCTGTATCTCGCTTTCCTCTTCCTCCCATCGCCGGGACCCTGGGAAGTGGATGCTCACCCCCAGCTCCTTGAGAAGGCCGCTCCTCTGCTGGGACTCCTTGTGCTGGCGTGCAGCCAGGATCCTGGGCTGGGTCATGTTCTGGGATAGATTTGTCTCCCAGGGCTGGGCTGAGCTGAGGACTTGCCAGGATGGGAGCCCCCAAGCACCGGAGCTGGGGGTAACTGTGGCTTCTGCCTTCATTGATGCTGGTTGGGGGCCCTGGCTGCCAGATGGGGAGAAAGGCCATCAGAACACATCTCATTTCTGAGGCTTGTGCCTGGGTGAGCCTCTGCCGATCACCTCTGTTCACAAGACTGGATCTTTCCAGAACCATGGTTGCCCTGTCCAGCAGCCCCTGGCCTTGATATTGACCTGGAATAATCTGGCCCCTGGGAATGGGGAGTAACTGCTGTCACAGCCTTTCTGGGATTACAAAGACACAGCTCCTTTTGAGGCAGAAAAATGAGGACCAGACACAGTTCACAATCAGCGCAAGACAGAGCTCATCCAACGGGCCAGAGAGTTGGGAGGTGCAGGAGGCCTGGGGCGGTGGAGGGGCCTCGGAAACAGTCTCCATCCACTGGTCCAAGATGAGTGACTGAAGGCAGGTGGGAAATAATTGTCCTACCTCCTGTGGTGTGCCCATGCTTCCTGGAGGGAAGAGAGAAAACGTCTTCCAACAAGGACTTCTTATGAGCCAACACTGAGTCAGGAGTCTGTGTTTAACAATGCTGACATTTACAAACACTTTCTCTGCTCCAGGCACTGAGATAAATAAGCTACATGCATTATCTGTTTTGTCCTCATTCCAACTCTATGAGGTAAATACTGTCCTCACTCTCATTTTGCATGTGAGGCTCAGAAAGGTTAAGCCACCTGCCCATGGTCACACAGCCAATAGGTGACTTGGACTTGAAGGATGGCAGGCTGGCTCCAGAGCCTGGGGCTTAAACCCTTAATGCACTGTTGGCTCAACAAATGGAAATGAATGTTCTGAATGTTCTCACGGGCACAAAAATGAGTTGGGAAAAAATTTAGAAGGGAGCTGAACAGACAACCTGCAGACAGGGTCAGGATCATAGTGTATACGGATGCCGTGGAGGCACCTGGGCTTGGGGGCTGCCTGGGGACTTGGTGAGGAAATCCATTTGAGCCTTTCTGTCCCAGAAAGTGGAGAGCTGGGCGGGGAAGAAAGGGGGCTGGCTTGCGGGGATTGAGGTCAGAGATGGTTTCGCCATGGGGCTGGGGCTAACGAGAAAATCCTTGAGAGAGTGCAGGCTGCTCAGACTGTCCTGGAAGGACGAAAAGGGATGGGCATTCCTCTCACTTTTAAATCTGACTTGTGGACCCAAGCAGTGCTCTCCGAGCATTCACATTTTTTACAGGGGTGCAGGGATTTCTTTCCACATAAGGAAAAGAATCTTGGGATGTTTGGAGGGTCAAATAGTCCAGGTGGCTACGTCCTGGACTGGGGGGCAAAGGAAGGGACATTATCAAGAGCCAAAGAGCCAGATGGGGCCTCACGGTTGGGTGAGGACTGTGTGTCAGGCACTGTGCCAGGAGGCAGTTTTGCCTGGCAACCTCCCTTAATCCTCAGGAAGTCAGCACCCTTGCGTAGAAGAGGAAACCGAGGTTCAGAGAGGTTGCCTGCCTTGGCCAAGGTCACACAGTGAGGAAGTGCCTGGAATTGGAACCATGCTGATCTTACTCCATTGCCAGTGCTCTGGGCCTGGGCTGCTAGGTGGGACCTCCTGATCGATATCTCCATTGGCCTGCAGTGACAACCCCTGATTAAGTGGGGACAGTGGGCAGAGGGTCTCCCTCTTTCCTGAGCTCAGACACTGTAATGCATGACTCTCTTCCGTGACTCTGCCTGGCTATGCTTGGGAATTCTCCCTCCCTCAGTCCCCAAGCCTTCAGGAGTCCTTCTGACACAGCTAGCTGGACTGAGGGGTGTATTTGGAGGCCTGAACCAGATTAGTCACTGGCTTTAACGAAGCTCTGCACACCTGCGAGGACAATACCTGGACCCAGGCCTGAACTCCCCTGCAAAGAACTGAAGAGGGACTGCTTAGCAGAGCTGTCTCGGATGGAGCTGGTTGTCCACAGGGACAGCGAGTGCCTGGGCTCTGGAGCTGTGTCTCCACCTACACATTCACTTATGAGAGCTGTGGCAGCAGGAATGGCTCAAATACCCAACAGGGAGTTGGATTCCAGAATCCAGAGAAACCCTTCTCAAAGTACATTTCATGAAACATTGGTCCTGATGGATCCGCACTAAAAGGGTTTCACGATCAAAGAAGCTGTGGAAACCATGGCTATCCTCCTCTCCCTTTTTCTCATATTAAAGGCTCTGAGATTTTCTACAAATGGTGCACTCTGGTTTCGTATTAAAGGCATTTCTCAAACTTAATTGGCCATAGAATCTTTTTTCTATGCAATTGGTATTCTATGGGGTCTGCTTTTGGGCAAAGGGACCTGGAAGGTTTCAGTTTCTGGTTCTGGGCTCTGGTTTTTGGCCTTTTCTCTGTGACATGAGCTTTCGGTTTGCTCCTGTCACAGTGGGAACGGAAATTGGATGATGCTCTCCAGGGTCCCTTCCAACTTTAAATATAAAACTTCTCTCACGGGATAGAGAGCTGCTGTGAGGAATTTTATACAACCAGGAGAGGAAGGAGGTGCAGAGGGCAGACCTCAGACTTAGACTTCATGGGGAAAAGTCTGTTACGAAGTCTCGTCCGCCTTTCCGGGACAAAGAGCATGAACTCTGATTCCTTAGAAGCTTAATCCTTGCTGTCCTGGTCCACTTCCAGGACCTGTGCAGGGCTGCTAGGAGGTGACAGCGTGCTGATAGAGGGGGGCAGGCAGCAGGCTGTTTGGGGCATGGGAGGAACTTTTTTAGCCTTGCTCCCCCTGAATCCCCTCAGCCAGCTCAGGACCACAGACCCAGCCAGCTTGGTATCCCACGGGAAACCCACTGTCACCAGGGCCTTGGCGCTCTGCACAGGGCCAGCGTGATGCCTGGGTCCCGTACGTATTCTCGTTGTTCCTTCAGTTCTGGGAGGGGAGGGAGGACAGGGATAGAGCTGGGAAGGACCCTCCAGAAGCCCCCAGCAGTGCAGCAGAGTGGGCCAGGCCGTGAGCACTGGAAGCTGTCAGCCAGAATGGGTGCCCCATGCACAGTCCTGGCTCCGCTTCCTGGAGCTGCGACCTTGAGCAAGCTGTGTACATCTCAGCATCTGAGTCTCCCTTCGCCTTCTCAGGGGAGCCACTGCCTGTCCTTGGGGCTGGGTGATGAGGAGTAGCTGAAACTATGTCTGCAACAGACAGGGCCTGGCATATAGCAGTAATGGCAGCCACAGTCATCACCAGCCTGTTGCATGTCTAGAATCCTACCAGCGAGGCTCCCCCTTGTCCTTATCTGGTTCTCGGTGAAGACCTGATACATCCCGCCCCTGTCATCTGGAGTGGAGAGTTTGCTCCCTCCATCTCCATCCTGCTTACAGGGGGAGAGGGCCGTGAGGGCTCTGGGCCCCTGGGGTGGGGGCAGGGTGTTGTGAAGGCAGAAAGGCACTGAGTGTATTGAGCTAGTGATCTGAGATCCGACACTGCCATTTGTGGATTTGTTTGTGGAGTTCTGCATTGGACACTGCGGGTACCGAGACAGGAGGGAGTAAGATGTGTCCATGGGAGGTCTGTGTCCGAGCAGGCAGAGGAGACGTGGCACCAGCAATGTGGCCCTCATCAGACGGTGCAGTGGAGCCCTGGAGGACAGAGAGAGCTTCTCAGGTGTGTGTGTGAATGCACCTGTGTGTGTGTTCATGCATATGTGTGGGTGCATATCAAGGACAGAAAGGCAAGAATTGAGAGGTGCTGAGTGACAGAGTGTCACATCATGTGACAGGCAGGCTGGCGCTGTGGCAGGGGTTCCCCAGAAGATCAGCGTTTCAGTGAATGCCAGTTAGAAAACAACCCGTGACTGTACTGAACCGGTCCCTTCCCGGCACTTCCAGACACAGTGTCTGGTGTAAAGACAGCTCACCTGCAAGGAGCAAGAGCCTGCAGGAAACAGAGGTGTCCGTCCGAGGAGGGAGTCAAGAATCTGGATTCTAGTCCTGGCCTCTCGTGGCTCTTGACAAATCCCTTCTTGCTGGGCCTCTGTTTTCTCATCTATTTGTGTGTATGCATTTTCAGACCGGACGGGGAGTGGCTGGGGCTCCCCCAGCTCTCATGGTCAGTGACTGGCAGCAGGATGGGGGCCCCTGGGGGAGAGGCCGATGGTGCTCCCTACTTTCCAGATCCCCTCTACTGGGTGGGGTACCCATTCTCCAGCTGCTGTATTTGTTGCTTGCTAAAGGCTCACATCTGCTCCCTGCTGGGAGTTTAAGCTACACCGCCCCAACCCTATAGCCAACAACTGACCAGCTAGGGGTATAAAAGGCCACCTCCCTGACTTCAAGGTGGGACAGGTCCGTACTCCTGAGCAACCCTCCAACTCTACATGGAAACACAACATCACTCCCCTCTGTTCCCGCTGTGGGGGGACCACTCACCCCAGAACCTGGGACCGCAGCTCCAAGCTTCCAGATGTGCTTTGCCCTCTGGCGCTGCCTGAGCTCCCCAGAGACAGCGCTGGGAAATCAGCACATCTTTACAGCATTAGACTTTGGATCTTCTCCCTCCCGGACTCACCCCCTGCTTCGTGCCCCAGCAGCACGGAAGCTGTCAATATCTTTCTCACCCCCCTGCCCCCCACCAATCCCGGCAGGTGAAAATCTTAGCAGCCTTCTGTTTTTTGGAATCTTGCCCTGTTGCCCAGGTTGGAGTCCAGCGGCCTGATCTCGGCTTACTGCAACCTCTGCCTCCCAGGTTCAAGTGATTCTCCTGCCTTAGCCTCCCTGGTAGCTGAGACTACAGGTGTGTGCCACCATGGCTGGCTAATTTTTGTATTTCTTTTCTTTTTTTTCTTTTTTTTTTTTCTTTTCTTTTTTTTTTTTTAGTATAGATGGGGTTCCACCGTATTGATCAGGCTGGTCTTGAACTCCTGACTTTGTGATCCGCCCTCTTCAGCCTCTCAAAGTTCTTAGTGCCTTCTTTATGTCTCTCCTTGACAGTTGCAAATTTCCTTTGGCAAGGGAAATGTTGATCATTTAGCCTGTTTTCAGAGCAGGACTGATGGAGTGAAGGTGGTTGTGATCTCC